TTCTCAGGGTGTTGGTGACTGACTTCAACAGCAGTGCAGTGGCGTTGTAAAGCTCATAGGGGTGAGTTCTGTGGGGAAAAATGACTTAGCCCAGGGCTCTCTGCAGGATGTTTTATGAAGCAGAGTTCAGGCCAGCTCTACCCTGGCTTCACGCCGTGCTCTGCACTCTGACACCCGATCCCAGGAAAGTCACCTCGATGTTCCCACAGCTCCGCTTATCACATGGGGATTACAGAAAGGCTCTGCCTCCCAGGGACAAGGCAGAGATGAGATAACACGCCATGGCACTTGGGCTTCCTCCATTGCACCGTGCCGCGGAAATGCAAAGTGTGAGCGGTGTCAGGTGAACCTGGAGGGACAGGAGCTAGCGCTGCTAATGTGCCAGCGTTTGTTCATATGAAATTAAGCAGATCGAGGACAGAGCTGGGCAGGAGGGCAGGGAAGGTGCCCTGTTAGCTGAAGTCCTTTCTGAAGAAGGGAGTTTACCTGTTTAAAATAAAGGATCCCATTTTGTCATCTAGCTTTAAAGAAAACAGCCACCACATGACTTGAGTGTCATAGCGATGTGCAGGCCAGACCATTAAAACTGTTTCTGGATATAGACAAAAACTAAGCACTAGGCAAGAAGGAGACTGTGGTTGTTTGGCCCCCGGCTGTCCCCACAAAGCCCTGATGCCTTCAGGCTGCTTTAGGGGAGGCTGGCGGGGAGACAGGAAAAGGAGAGGTTTTCATGGGGGGCCAGGTAGAAGCTGATGAGATGGAAAAGATTTCATGGAAAAGAACAAGCAGACAGCTTTAAAAAAGGCACAGGAAAGAGAATATGCAGAAACACTCCCTTCCTTGGGCTGGGCACCTTCTGGGACGTCACTTGAATGGCATCCTGAGACCAAAGGAAAACGCACATTGTTCTACTTTTGTGGCTCTTAAAAATAATGCAGAAATGGAGAATTCCTCCATTCTCAAGGAGAAACAACCAAGAGGTCTGGGAACCTCTGCATTTTCTCCCATCCTTCCTTTATTTCATTTGTTGCTGTTTGTAGATCTTTTATGGGATCTGAGGGCCTGCCTGAGTGACGAGAGTGAAGGCTGAAGAGAGGGGAGAGCCTGTCTCCTTCCTCCTCATTCCCCCTCACCCCATCCTTGTTGCAGCCCAGCTCTCATGCAGGGCCTGCCTCTCATGCTGCAAAAAGTAACTCCRGGGACCCAAGCACTGAGGGCATTTGTCAGCAAGGGTGGGTATCAAGGATGAGGCCGCGCAGAAGACTGAGGTTTCAACAGGTTCTCGAGAGCTTCGGGGACATCTGAAGATTTTCATAGAGGCACATGCCAATGTCTCTGCTGTCCGTGACACATGCAGCTTCCCTGAGCTTGGAGGTCACTGCTATGCCCAGTGACCTCATTTTGCAGGCAGGTGGGACGAGATGATCTCTAGAGGTCCCTTCCAACGCTAAGGATTCTGTGATTCTATGATTCTCATAGCAGCAAGACTGTCTGGCTGCAGAAACCCAGATGCCTGCCATGCTGCCGCCCAGCATGACCCCATTGGGACAGTGGGGCCGACTGCTGAGCTGTGGGCTGGGCATGGAGCTGCGTATGGGGTTGCTGACCTTGCAGTGAGGGCATGAGGAGGAGGAGGAAGAGGAGGAGCACGGTTCTAACTCTGCCTCCAGCGCCCCTGTCTGCCCAGCTCCCAGTGCTCAACGCCCTTCCTGTCAGAGCTGGCGGCGTCTGCTTGTCCTCATGTAAAAAACCTTGTGTTTGCAGACTGACCACAGGGGCCTTTTTCCACTGCCTTTTAGAAAAGGAAAGGATGGAATGTCTCAACCTCCAGAACACRCCTCCTTCCCACACAGACGCACTGTTCTCGTTTCCATCGGTGTCATACGCGGTGCTCAGGGAGGAAATTGAGGTTAGAGGGAGAGAGAAGCACRTTACTCCCATTAGGCTCGAATCCCTATGGACACGCCTTGCCRTGTGCCCTGCTCCTCCAGACCTTGCCCCACATTGGAAATAGGGCAGATAAAAGCCAGCTAACACGAAATGCCACTGCRTCTTTGATGGGAGTCTTAAGGTGACAAGTGGCCGTGCTGATATTTTGATGCATCTACTTAAGGTCGCTCTGGAAGCTATGGGTTGAGCTGGAAGCTCTGTTGGCTGCCTGAGGTCTTTCCCCACGAAGCTGTCTTCCCTCCATCTCTGATTCAGCACTTGCAGTGTCCAGGTCATTGGCTCAGTTTTATGCTCTTAGTTGCAGTTTCTGCCAGCGTGTCCACCAATAAATCATTTCCTCCTGTGAGCAGCAGCTGCTTGCAGCTTGGGTGCTACCAGGAATTAGCCCTTGAGGTGAAACGGACAGCTCCGCTTTTGGCCAGAGAGGCACAAGGTGCAAAGTACAGGAGTGTCCTGCCGAGCATGAGGTTCTTCTCAGGCATAAAAATAAATGTCATCAGCAATTGGCTTCTATCAGTCCTTCCTGGGCTCTGAATGGAAACTGCCGTGTCTCTTTTCATGCCTCCAAGCCCCCTTCTTATATGGTGAGGTTGCTCCTACCTCAGAAAACGGATAGGCCACCAGTGCTCATCCCTCTGTCACCAGAGAAGCACCCAGAGGGGTATATTTTGAAAACTGGGCTGTGCTGGCAGAAGCCATAGGGTGAAAATTGCCAGCAAAACTTGCGGGAAAGCAATGCTTGGGTCCATGCTAGTTTTGGAGGGACATCTGCTGGCGATGCTTGAAGAGCCCCAACCAGGCACGCAAACACACTTAGTCCTCCATGGCAGCTTGCTTAATAAAGCCTAATTAAAATAAAAGTATGAGAGAGATGAGGAAAACTATGTGTGGGGAAAAGATTCATACTAAAGCAGTGGAATCAAACCCCAAAACACGTGGTCCAGGCCCTGAACTCCCTTTCACCATCTCTCATGCCCAAGCAGCATCTCACACCTGAGCTCAGATTGGGGTCAGGCACATGGGAACCATTGAGAAGACCCTCCAGCCCCCGAGTAWTTTCCACGTGTTTAACTAAAACCAGGCCTTAGCCAGCTCTCTCATTTCAGGCCAGCCAAAGAACCCCCCAATTCCCACATGGCGTGAGCTAAATCAAAGCAAGCTGAAATAAGAACACTCACAGGGGTTGAAGGGGCGGGCTCAAAATCCTACGTTCTTTTATACAGGCACCACCCGGACATGTAGCCACATGTTACATGGAGGGGGGCACATGCAGGTGAGGAAGAACTCGACTTATCTGAAGAAATCCCATGCATTAGCACCAAGGAAGCAGGTGCCCCTGAAACAATCTAATTCCTGACAATTTTCCGATAAAGATCAGGGGCAGATTCAGGGTGGCTTCTCCTCCCTTTGCACATAACCTACAGGCAGGTGGCTTGAACAGCAGCTATTTAGGCAAGGGGTGAAGGCAAAGAGGCCCCATAAATAAGCTGAGGCCACCGACTGGTGCTTTCCAGGAGTTTTTCTGCCCTTGTTTCAGCAGCACGCCCTGCTTGCTGCAATTATTCCTTGCTACAGYCCTGATGTATGTGAGGCTCAGAGGAGAATAGAGCTGGCAAATGATTTTCCAGCCAACCTTCAGGCTGTAATTCAACCTTGCATTTTCTTCATCATTAGCCCCGGTCTAGGGAACCGCTGTCTTCCCGAGACTGTACCCTGTTTGTCGCTGCTTGTGTTGGTCTTCCCTTGAAGGGAACCACAGTGAGATAGGGGAGGCATGTGCGCACAGGGGAGGAAGGAAAAGAGTCTGTTAACAAATCTGCAAAGGGRGCAAAGCAGACAGCTGTTCACACTTCATTTTCCTACTGCATTCAATTTTCCTTCCACATTCAATTTTCCTTCCTTTGTGGCAACCTGCATTCCTCCGGCAGCAGAAAAAAAGAAACGCAAGACACAAACAGGGGGAAAGCCCCAACCACCACTTGAGCTCCTTCCACTCTTTAAAYTGAGCTCATTTACTCAGAAGGGAAACAATTTATAATAAAAGGATTTGGGGAATTATTTTTTTCAATCAAAGCGTGACATTTTATTATATAAATATATATTATATCATATAAACCAAAGAAATATTTTGGGAAGTTTTGCTTGAGTGTTGGGCCACTTCACCAAAAGAACCTTAAAAAAAAAAAAGGAAAGAAACTGTGCATTGGCTATGCATTGGCTGCATTGCTGACTAACTTTRTACTTATTAGTAAGTTATATGTTGTTATACTTTGTACTTATTCCTCTCCTTTTCCCTCAAAGTATTTTGCAACAACCAGGTGCCAATTAGATAAGGGGTGAATTCTTATAGGATTGTACTCAATAGCCTCATGAAAATCCAATTATTTTTCTTCTGATTGTTCCTTACTAATCCTTGCCAGTAAGGCCTATGGGAGGTAATAAAGATTCACTGCCATGTAACAATCTCGTGCAAGAAACTCAAGTTCTGACTGTCTGACCTTGATCCCTACAACCCTTCTTGTTTTGACTCAGCAGCACAATAGTGCACCCTGCCAGAAACTGCAAGAAAACAAACTAAAAGAGGAGTCAGAAAGCTTTATTTATTTATTTRTTTGTTTGTTTGTTTGTTTTCCTGGAGGACAATTTAAAAGTGTTGTTATAACCGAACTGGTGGGTAGCAGCTGGCTTTTTTTTTTTCATATGCAGATCCCAGCTCTGTGCCAGACTCCTCAAGATGTTTCTCACCTCCCCAGCCCTCTTTTGAGAGCTTTCTATGTATTTATTTTTATTGTGTGTGACTTTCCTTTGGAATAGCTTTAATTTCCTCCACAAATGGTGCTGACCTCCAGGAATCAGATTTTCAGCAGTGTTAAGGGCAAGACACCTACTTTGCAAATCTATGTGCCAGAAGTTAATATGTTCTGTTATTCCCAGCAGGAAGCTCAGAGACTGCAAGAAATACAGTAGTGCCCCCTCATGAAAGCTATAATTCTTAGCTCACAGGTTTGCCAGTAAACACAAGGCTTATTTTTTTTTATTTTTTTTTTCAGAACAAAGGAAGAAATACTCCAATTCCAACATCATCATGCACGAGACTTCACAGTACCATGTCCAGGTGAGTCAGCAGTGCAACTTTGTGGRACTGAGCAGAGACTCACGTCAATGATAGAGGCTGACAATGTTTCCTTTTCCTTGAACTTCCTTAAGTCAAAGAATGGTAAGAGCCTTCTTATGTTAAGGAAGAGTTGCTCTCTACAAGCTGGGGGAAAACAAACAGCAAAGCTACTTTAAAGATTCATTTCTCCTGCAGGGATATGGGATTCAGTCCTTGCTGAATAATCAAGACTCTGCAAACTAAGGAAGTAGAGAATGAGGATAAAAGGATGTTAAAAAGATATATTTCTGTGTAAGCAAATAGGAAATTGAGAAGCTGTTGTCCCCTCTCCCTCTTCAGCATTTGAGTGTGAGCAGTGGGAGCTGTTGTCCCTCTTGTCACTCTGTGCTTGAAATCCTTCTTGATCAGCCCGCTTCCAGGCATCCACTTAAACATGAGGAGCCAGCCTGGCTGTCCCGGGCCTGCCAATCTCTGGAATGTAATTTGTTGGAACAAGGCAGCAACCTCCCCACCACAGTTACACACATGCCTGTCCAAAGTCACTCACCACTGACGAGACGAGAAAGACAAGAATCCCAGAAAGGACAGAGCTCCGTGAGGTCCATATTTTAATAAATAGAGCGTTGTGTTCTCTGATTTATGGCCCCGACTGAGCAAARGGTTTAAGTACACACTTAACTTTGAAATAGGAAAGCCTGCTCGGCTGCTTAAAAATGGAATTTAGATTTTAAGACCTGCTTCTTTGGAGAGAGGCTATAGTTTCCATCTGATAGACTAGCTTGATGACCAGCCACCCCACTTCCACTGCAGGCCCAAAGACGTGTTTCTCTAGCAGGGAAATGACACCACCGAAGAGACTCCTGCACTATGCGCCGCACTGCCCTTTCCTCAGCAACCAAGTACGGCCGTTTGCTAAAAGGACAGGGATCCTTCGTGTGATCCTTTCTTCGTGTGATCTCGCTTTTATTTCAACTACAGGCTGGTCAACCTGCCTTTGTTTCAAGTTGTCATGAGGAACCCCAGGGTGAGCCCTACCCAATGAAATCACTTGTGGAGGCAGAGAGGGGACTTTAAACAGCGACAGGGACATGACTCCTTCGTTAATCATGACATATGACATTCATTTGTGACTCTGTGCCTTGAACTTTGACCAAGGCAAACCGGATTTCAGTGGCAGGCAGTGAAGCAGGGGGAGGCTTTCTCATAAAAGGTGTTTTACACCCTCAAAGCAATCTATAAGCTGATCAAAGTTTAATAGTGCGGGGAGTCATTGCCTCTTCTTAGAAGAGTTACTATATTTGAAGCTCTTTCTGGTTGAAAAGGGTTTTTAATGAGATAAAGTGAATGTCCTCAYTCTAACAATATCTAAGGAAAAGAGAAAAGAAAAATTTCCTGATAAATCTGTAGCTTTACCGTCCATGAGAGTTAACTGACGTAACAGTAAATAACAAAGGAATTTATGAAGACTGTAAACCCAGCAGTTAAAATATTAGAGCAGATAAGAATGCTGGTGATCAGGTACAAACCAATTCAGTTCATTGCTCGGAAAGCAGAGGATTTGTCACCTCTGTACAGATAATATTGACTTTGTGAATACCTTTCATGCTGCATTTTATAGTTACAGTAACACATACCTGAGCTGTTCGTGTTTGATTGCACAACCAGCCCCAGCTTTCGGTACACCTGCTCCAATAGCTGCCAGTAGATTTTAGATACTGCCTTACCCYATACCTTTGCTTTATGAACACAGAATTGGGTCTTCAAATCTGCCATGTTTGAGCTACTTCCCTGTTCTCTCCAGTCCCACATCTCTCTCATCTACTCATTCATGACTCAGCTACCACCTTAACACCAAAGCAGCCATCACAGATTCTCTCCCTTCTGAATTCTCACCATCCARGCCCCGCTGGGGATCCTCTCCGCAGTGCACCAAACTTAACTGGGATGTTGTGGTCTTTGACCACTACATTTAAAGAGAGCCTCTCTCTTTGCAACCAGCTCTTCTGGAAACAACCAGGACACCGGTCTTGCTTGTAGGTCCCTGAGTCCATCCAAGGCTCAGGTGCCGCATTGTGAAGATGCTTTCCCTCAAGTCTGCCGGATCCATAAGAGACATGATGTGCTAAGTCAGACCTCTAAGAAAAAGTCTATCTATATATTTTTTTTATCTGTATCTGGAACAGTGGGGCCTGATCTCAACGCAGCAGCACCATAACAAAGAGTTGRTATCAGAAAGAAAAGGTCTTCATGACCTATCCCAGTGATCATACCCACTTCCCCATTCCCTCAAGTGGGTCTGATCTCTGTGACAGGCTGTGAAGGGAAGGGATTGGAGGGAGAAAAGCTAGGCAAAACTTACCCCTCTGCAAGCCAGCAAAGGACCCCTCCAAATGTTACATTCCAATTTGTTGCTTGTTTAAAGGCACAGGTAGAGACCTGCAGTACCTGGGTCCCACTGCCAGCAAACATCACACAGCTCTGTGGCCCTTCACTGGAGCCCCATGCATCTGTGCCGTTTAGCAGTGTGTCGTTCAGCCTAACCAAGTCACTGAAGAGACACTCAGTGTCACGTTGGTACATGAGCCATAAGGAAGGGAAGGGAAGGGAAGAAGCTGCCACCTGTCCTAGGACCAGCCGCAGCACCAACCGCATTGATCAGACCTAGGACGTGGCTGTCCCCAAAGTTCCTGCTGGCAACGGGACACGTGAGAGGCTCCGGGGGAAGCAACGCGGCTGCTCTCCTGCAGGAGCATCTCCAAAGCAGCTGCTGCTTTTCAGAGAGCCAGGCGGCCCTTCTGCCAGCCTCGCAATCCCCTCTACTGTCAGATGCACGGCTGCTGCTGTAGTCAGTGCAGCTCCTTCTATAGCAGCAAGGTCTGGAGATGAGAGGGGAGAGAAACGTGCCATCGGGTGTCAAGGAACCTCCTTGGAGGACACAGCACGTGCTTGTCCTTCACTCGCCTCCCTCGGAGCCCCGGGAGCAGCTGGTGCAGCTTGRTTGCCCAGAATCTCCCCAAATACAACTAGTGCCAAGTTCAATGTCCGGATCAGCGAGTGCTTCGGGACACAGATAGAGCAGGACTGGGAAAAGAGGCAAGTGCGGTCCTGCCCGGGATGTTACCGCCTCGTCAGAGCAACTCCCAACCCCAGTGCACATATCACCTGCTGGAAGACAGCACAGGAGGACAGCACAGAAACCAGCTTGCCAACCAGTCCAAAACTGGGCTCACAGAACAGGCAACAGGAGGCATGAAAAGCTACTTAGAGCACTAGCCCTAGCCACACTCCCATTTGGAGCCCCCCTCAGTCTGCAGGAGTAACGTTTGCCTGTGGTGTGTGTGAGTTCTTTGCCCAGGACAAATTTCACACAGGGAGACTAGGTGAATCGAGCCAACTGCAAGTGCTTTTAAGCTCGGGGAGTTAGGCTCAAATAGCGTGCGTGAATTTCCAGCGCAGTTTAGAAAACCCTGGGGCCCAACCTGTGTGTACAAAGCACTCGAAAACACACACGGCTGGATGGGAGCCAGAGTTGCTAGAATTGACATAGGATGAGATAAATATGCAAGCGGTGAAACTCGTTATGAAAACCTTGGTGTGTTATGAAACTCTAATCTTTCACCACTATGAACAGACCAGTACGGACTGGTAGGAACAACCAGAACGTGAACCTTTGGCAGTGATTCCTTCATRCCCATGTTATGAGAAACAGAGAAAAAATAACTCAAACTTCTGTACACATGCAAACAAAGCTTTTTTTACTTGTTTTCTCTTCCTTTCCTCCCAAACTCCAGCACTTGGCCACCTTCATCATGGACAAGAGCGAATCCATAGTGACAGTGGACGATGCCATTCGGAAACTCATGCTGCTCAATTCAAAGGAGAAGATCTGGACGCAGGAGATGCTGCTGCAGGTGAACGACAAGTCCATTCGCCTGYTGGACTGTGAGTCGCAGGTACGTGGAGGGTACCAGGGAAAGCTCCCTGCAGGCTCTTGGGTTTGGTGCTTGCTCTTTCTGTCCTGCTTGGGAGGGCAATTTCTCCACTCCCAAACTCCACTGCTGGATGTGCAGAGGCTGGCTGCTCAAATGCARGCAGCTGTGGGCTGGTTTATTCATGGATCCAGAACACAGATGATCCCCAGATGGATGATGCCTTGAGCTGTGCTCCTGGCCAGCAGTAAAACACCTTTCTGTGGGGGTGAGGCAGACTTACAGGTCTATGGGGATGGGCGTATAGCATGAGCAGAGAGGGYGTGACCCATTACTTGCAGTATAGTGACCCACAGAACCTCTGCACTGCCTGTACTTTAGCAGTGGGAAACCAAAAAATATTGGTATGAAGGCAGTGTCAGGGAGTAAGCRGGAGGACGAGTCCTAGCACTGGTGTTCCCACCAAAGTCTCTTCCCAGTGCTCTGCTAGGACATATGACAAGTGCAGTTGATGCACGATAAGTGATGGCAACCACTGAGCCCAACCTGAAACCTCATGCTGAGCCCCCGTGTTCAGGACTCAGAGAAGGACAAAGGTTTATCTCCATTTGCTACCCACCACTCTCCGGTTTCTACGGGGTCCCCAGCAGACCCTCTCTGCAACTCTACATCTCTGAAGAGCTCAGCGAATATTGAGAAGCACAAGCTCTATCAGGGCTCTCCTCCCACAGGGGTCCCAGGACTTCATGCACGGGACCATTCCCCATTAGTTTAATAGAACTCTCCACTGCCTGACCCTATCTACTTTCTTTTTTAGGAGGAGCTGGAGGAATTCCCTCTGCCCACAGTGCAGCACTGCCAGACAGTGCTCAATCAGATGCGCTATTCCTCCATCCTCCTCCTGGTGTGCCAGGATTCGGAGCAGCACAAACCGGACATTCACTTCTTCAACTGCGACGAGGTGGAGGTGAGCGGGGCGCCTCCTTGCTTGGGATGAGGTGGGAGGCCAGGTGCTGGGGCCTGCAGGCAGGGAACCCCTCTGCACTGCTGGGCCATGCATGCAGGAATGCTGGCAGGTAGGGATATGCCATACACCTGRGAGGTCCTTCCTAGCCCACCTTTCCTGCCCTCTCAGCAGCACATCCATGCCAGCATCCCATTCCACTGCAGCACGTGTGTGCAGCATGGTGGCAGGACAAAAAAGCCTCCTGGCTCCTGCTTTTCTGCCAGCCATATCTTCCCTCGCCCTCTTCCTTGCCCRTTCTCTCCAAAGTAAACCCTGTCCCTTAGTAAAACCTCCATGTTCTTTCTTGGAGGCTGAGATGGTTCACGAGGACATAGAGAGTGCCCTGGCAGACCACAAGCATGGAAAGAAGATACGGCCACAGACGCTCAAGTAAGTACTGCATTGGCTGCAAGATGTAGCCAGTAGAGGGTAGGAAGAGTCTCGTGTCCACATCTTCTGAGGAGAAAATGCAGTGCAAAGGCACCAGACCCCACACAGATGCAGGCACCATGTAAGATTTTAGCCCATCTCAGCTCAGGGTTTAAAGCTGAATGAGAAGTAGAGCTGATGGGGGGAAAATCTCATATACCCTTCTGGGCAGTTTTGCCTTAGGAAGCTGGAAAACAAGCCCTTCCTCTCTTGCCTCTTTGCTGCAACAGAGCCCAGCTTTGCATTCCTCATCAAATATTGTAATCGCTGCAAATGAGACTCTTCCCATAACTGCCACCTTCTCAAGGCCATGGATATAAAGCTCACTTAGGCCTGCTAGCTGAGCCCCAGGGCAATTTACAGTGCAACTAAATTTTGGATGACTATTTTTTTTTTTTCATACTCAAAGCATACCTTGGGTTACGTGCCTGGGAAGGGAGCTTCACTGTGCTGTGAGCTACCCCTCAGGGATTGTACACCCTAAAACCAAACAGCTTCTACTGGCTGTTTTCCAAGAACGGTGCTTGAATGTTGTGACAGGGCCAGGAAAGAGAATGGCTTGGGCTGGTGACTCCATGCAAAGGCATCTCAGCTGCCTCCTTGACAGCCTCTGTGCTGAAGGACCTGCCAAAAGAGCCTGGCCCTGCTACCAAATGATGTTTATGGAAGTGCAGGTCTTCCAGGCCAAACCCTACTTAAAGCGGTCAATGGCTGGAGCTCTTCTATGCCAAAGATGTGGGCTCCCCAATGCTGGGCCAAGGGGGAAATTCAGCCAATGTAAATAGCACCCCTTGAAGAGTCCCCTCCTTGCTCCTGCTGCTGCCTTCTTGGGGACAGGCCGGGCAGCCGCTGACRCTGGCTCTGCTGGTTGCCTTGCAGAGCAAACCAAGAGAAGATAAAGCAGAGACAGTCGATCCTCCCACCGCCTCAAGGGCCAGCTCCCATCCCCATCCAGCACGACATGCGAGGCTCCCCCATGAACCGTAATCGCGTGGTGCCGCCTTCCCAGCATGATCCAGGTACAGCGGGTGAACAGCCCTTGTATGTCCTGGGAACGGGGGACTGGCATGGGAAGCCTTCTGCCAACCCCCCTTTCTCCCACTTTGTGTGTTTGATGTCTGAACACCTGCTGCCCTGTCTCTTCCAAATCCCCTTTCACTCACCTGATAGAGCCCTCCTTTCACCAGAGGCTACCTGAGCAATTGCTCACATTGAAATATCTCCATCTCACCCTGCGCCTGTCTGCTGAGACCTGGAAGGCATCTATATTCGTATTTATTGCAAGAAGATGTTTTCTATACCCATTAGAAACACATGAGAGACTGCACACATRTTTGCACACAAGTCCTGGTTTTCGCACGGGCCTGCCTAAATGTCTGTCATGCAGAATTCCTGCCCTACTGCAGCCTGGTTACTGACAGGAATATTTTTTACCAAGTCTTGTTCATGCTCATCTACTCACTGGTTAAACTCACACTCATGGTCAGCCAAGGCTCCTGTGGAGAGCTGGAGGTTAGAAGAGCAGCTATGAGTTATTCCCAGCGTGCTTCACATCCATGTGGAAGTGCCCAGCAATGGGAGCAGGAGCCTTTCAGCTCCTTAGTGAGTATGAGCTTAGCTCAGAGGCCAAGGAGTTAGTGACTCGCAACAGCTGGAGATCTTGCAGGTCTTTGCCTGTAGCCAGCAGCTGGTTGCCCTTTGTGATTCATTCTCAGCTTGAATATGAGGCAAAATATGAAAATCGTCTGCTTTGATCATCCTCCTGCATGAACTGCTCTTCGTGAGCTCCTGAGGGGCTCTCAGAATAAATGACTAAATARCCAAAGTCAACAGAGGTACCATCCCGTGGAGCTCAGCTTCGGTGTTAACTGGAGCCCATGCTCATCTTTTTTCTCTCCTCTCCCATGTTTGGCAGACTATGAACGACGAGGCTCCAGCTCTCAGGACCACGAAGAGTCCCGAGCTATCTTGGCACAGAAAATTGAAAAAGAAACGGTTGGTACCAAGAAGCGGGCACAGTCCCCAGACACAAGAGGGGGGAAGAGAGGCATCAGGGGGACTTCTCCATGAAAATATATTTCATGTGTAGTTTAATCTTTGTTAAATTAGCTCCTCTTGCCTCTAAAGATGGGGTGAGCAAAAMCAAAACTCCGCATTGGGGTCAGCTGCCGTCTTTTTTTGTCCTCAGGTAGCTCTTCTGAGTTCAGAAGGGCTCTTCCTCTCCAGCCTTAATTTTCCATTAGCATCCATTAGGAGGGGTCAGCATTGACAAATATAGCAGATTAACCCAGGAAGAGTTTTGTGACTGAAAAAAAAATGAAAAGGGATGAATTCAACTGAATTTCACACCTGGATTCCCCATTCCTGCCCATTCTTGCAGRAAAAGATGTAGGCAGGCACAGAGAGGCACCTTCTGGGATTCGCGCTTCCCAGACCCAGGCAGTGCCAATCCTCACCTTGGTTTGCCATGTTTCTGTCCTTGCAGCAAACTCTGAACTGCACTCTGGATGACATTGAAGTGTTCGTTGCCAGGCTTCAGAAGGCAGCAGAGGCATTCAAACAGCTCAACCAGAGGAAGAAAGGGAAGAAGAACAAGAAGAAAGGGCCAGCAGGTAATTTGCATCAGCTAGAACATGGGCGACGTGTGTGTCGCCTCTCCTCCTGTTGGATTTTCAGTTGTTCTGGTCACAGCGCCCACCAGCGCATGCCAGAGAGATGAAGCTCTCCTGGGAATGTTCTAATTAATGTGTCTTTCCCTCCACCTTCTCTTAAAAGAGGGAGTGTTGACTCTTCGAGCAAAACCCCCAAGTGAGGCTGAGTTCATCGACTGCTTCCAGAAAACCAAACTGGCTTTTAACCTCTTGGTAAGACATAGAGGGGTGTTTTGGGCCCATGCAGTGACGGGGCTGTTTCTCTCTTTATCACAATTGCTAAGCATTTAAAACAAAACTAAAATCTCTATCAAAGTACATTGCTATGAATCCAGATTTCTCTGCCATAAACAGCCACAAAATAAACRTTGTTTCAGGCTTGTGGGGGATTCTCTGCTCAGGTTGGTAAAATGAAAATAAAGACAAAGTTCCAAAGATGCACAAACCTTCCTGCCTGCCTGTGCAAACACCAGCATCYTGCTGCCATGCATGAGGAACCCTGGTTCACAAGTACTTTGTGCTGGAGTGCCTCAACTCTGCCATGAAAAGGAGCAACCTTTCCCTCTCCATCTTCCCAAACCTTCCTTTTCTGTAGGACACCACAAGCATTTGTGCCCCTGTATGGGGCTGGGGATAGTATGCATGTTAAAACAAGACAATTCCTTTTTTTTTTTTTGACTGGGTAGCGAGCCAGAAGGAAGTTCTCTCAATTCTAACCAAGCTTGCCTGGTGAACCCAGCCAAACAAGATCATTCCTGAGGTGTTACTGGTAAGGCTGCCCTGAGGAAGCAGCTGAGGATTTTCCAAGCAGAAGGAAATCCAGGCTGGGTTATTATATCCCAGCCCTTTCTGGCTGCTCACACAGTGAAGATAAATACAGTATAACCAGCATGGTCAACCAGACCTTTAGCCACAGCCTGGGTCTACACTGGAGTTAGCATTCTACTCAATAATAGCCAGCTTGGGCACTCCCAACAGCATGATGCATTGCAAGTACTCGTTATAGACTGCAAATGTTGGTGCATGCTCTTACACACACACCCCARATAGCTGCATTGCTGCTACTGCCATATCAGCAGCACATGGTCTAATACATAGGAAATTCACTCATGTGCCTGAGCTCTCTTTGCACTCAGGCCTTGGATTTCCCTGTTTGTGGGTGCACAAACCCACCAAGAGCTGCTATGCTCCAGGGGAGAGGCCGGGGCAAATACCAAGGCTGGTGTGGAACCAGTTGGAAATCTGTGTGCCACACGGCTGCACCTTCCCTGTGAAGTGCCCCACCGCTCGCTTGTCCTKTGGCCATCAATTATTTCACGCTTTCCACTCCACATTAATGTTTAACCACCAGTATTTAAAGTGACCAGGCCTTGCATTTCATTAGAGAAAGGGTCTGTTTTCCATTGCTGTGAAGCCAGAAGCATAGGACGTGAATAGAGGAGGCACAAACTCAAGTGGTTTCTCACCTAATTGAGCTGATATTGCTCTTCTTGCAATGCAGTTCTTACTGCAAAGTAATCCTAAGCATTTGCTCCTCCATTTCATCACAGTCTATTCCAAATGCCAGGCATTTCACTGGACTGGGCAGCTGTACGTGCACTGCACAGGAAAGACCTTGGTGAAGTTTTTTCCCTAAAGTAACTTGCCAAGGGACCCTGCAGAACACTCGCTCTGTTGTTTTCATTCACAGAAACTAATGAGACTTTCAGTTTTGCAAGAATCAGAAACAGGCCTTCAATTCCTCACTAAGGCTTCCAGAATAAGTCAAGGTTTTCAGTTTCCTCTCAAAACAGCTTTGAAAGGCCATGACATTTACAGAGCAGATGCTTCACCCTTCCAAAAGTCAAGGCTGTTAGAAACGGACACCAAACAGACATGACCCAGAACAGAATGATCCTATTCCCCAATCCCTTAATCTTCTTCCCTAATTTGAAGTGTACTCTTAAGAGTTTCTTTACTTTCCAGATATCAGTCAACAACAATTCCTCTCTGGCACAGAACAGGCTAGGATTAAACAAAGTTTCCTTTATCTTTTCAGGCCAAACTGAGAAAGCACATCCAGAACCCAAGTGCTTCAGAGTTGGTGCATTTTCTATTTGGACCGCTGGAGCTGGTAAACCTTCTTCACAGGCCTTTTTATTTCTGGTGACTCTGGTTACTGAATAGATGGGACCCAAGAGTGTATTTGCTAAATATACAGGCTTTGTAGACAACAAAGCCTAGAAACAACATCAGCACTTCTGGACTCCAGTTCGATTTCTTCTTGAACTAAATGCATCTACACAAACTCTAGAAAATATGGGCCATTTTGCTGTGTTAATACAAGCTTGGTGTGAACGGTTCCTCTTTGGAATCAGCCTAGTCTCACCTTCAAACAAACAAGGTTCAATATTTGCAGGTAGGAAGGAGGTATCCCAACTTGAAAAAAAGAAGCTGGAAGTGCCACAGAAACCCCAAAGTATTCCATATGTTTAGTATGGTAGCTTGTGATGTGTCCTATCTCCAACAGCAGCTGATTTTCAGTTCAGACATTGCTTTGACTCTAATAGAAAAAAAAAATCTTGCCCTCCTATGAGCTGTTCCCTCTCCTCCAAAGATTTAGGTTGATGCTTCTTGAAACAACTGAGTTGATCTAGGGATCATCTGTTATCAAGAGGAGTCATGCAATCCTTTGGATAAAGGCTTGCCCTTTGACTGTCATTTTATTCCTTGGAGAACTTAGATCACAAARTTGGCAGGGAAGCTATTTGCCTTATTTGTCTGCTTGCTCTTTCTTAAGGATAACAAGTGGATACTCGGGGAGCACAGCATTCCTTTCAGGTAGCAGCAAACTATTTAATTCAACTGTGTTATGAAACCTCAACTTAACATGTGTGAAGGCCCAGAAGGAGCTTTAGAGCTCCTAATCAAATATAAAGTGGCACATTTCAGAGGTACACACCATAGATGGTAGCTTGGCTTCCTTTGGAGTGGGCATGCATAGAGACTCCAGAAGATCGGAGCCACTGATTTTTCTGTCTTGGATTTCTGTGCCTATGTATGTGCTGCTTTGGCATTTCGAAGCCTTGCAGAATCTCTCATACTCGTATGTGTTTGTGTGCAATCCAGATTGTCAATAGCTGTGGTGGCCCTGAGCTTGCCAGGTCTGTCCTCAGTCCACTTCTTTCCAAAGATGCCACAGATTTCCTCAGAGGACACCTGATCCCCAAGGAGATGAGCCTCTGGGACTCCCTGGGAGAGACGTGGACCAGGTCCAGGTGAGGACGGAGCTACCAGCTCGCAAAGCTTCCCAAGCTGTTCAGAAAGGCTTGTAGGAACATTTAGCTTTATAGCCATGTCAGAGAGTCAAGAATAAAAGAAGATTTGGGTCTGTTTCTCTGTAACGCTCTGTAACGCTACATTTTGGTGGTTGCTTACACCAGCTCTGGGCATAGCATTTCACATCCTCCTTGCCTCTGCCTGGCACATGGGAATGGAGGCTSTCGGACCCATGCTTCTTGTGCCCCTGACTGCATATTCTTGCTTCATGTCCTAGAGCTGAATGGCCTCGAGAAGCAAATATCCCCAGCTACATTCCCAAATTCCGCAATGGTTGGGAGCCGCCCATGGAAATCTTCCGTGGAGCTCCTTGGGAAATAGACATTGGACACTTGCAAGAAGAGGTTAGTCTTGTGCTCCCAGTCATCCTTTTGCTTCCTTTTCCCCCTTTTTCCTCTTTGGCAGAGTGAGAAACATCTTTTGCTGAAACCATGAGGCATTACAGAATAAAGGAGCGTATTACCACTACACAGGGTATATTAATATTAAAACAGAGGAGCAGAGATGTGGGCAGAGTCTGCTGCTTGCCCAGTACCYCTAGAGTGCATGGGATTTTGTTGCCAGCACTAAATCTCATCACTTAATATAGTGGTGCAGCATAGGCACACACAGAGAGGCTGGTAGTTGGGATTCCCTTTCAACAAGTCATCCCTAGCCCTTCCTAAAAGCGAGAAACTCAGGCAAGGGATCACGGAGCTGTCAAATAAAGAGTGAGTAACCATCTACTGTACCTATGCTCAGCCTGCAGCTGTTTTCTCCAACCTCTGGGTTTTGGCAGAGGAACTTGATATTCCGGGGAGAGCAAAGCTGCCAGCTGCTTCTGATGGCTAAAAATCCTGCTCTGTCCCATCTGTGCTGTGATGGAGTTTGTGGTGGTGTTCAACACGTAAGGAGCTCAAAGCTCAGTTGGATGTGTTCACTCCACTTAAATATGGAAAGAAAGTAAGGCCAGAGAAGGGCAAGCAGTAATCAGCCTCAGTTCCTGAAAGACAGGAGGCAATACCTGGAATTAAGTGAGCACCTGGAATTAATGAGGCCCATAGATACTGKTTTCCCTGAAGATCCCGGTTTTCCTGAAGAACAGTTTTGACTTCCGTGTGTGCCTCATCTTAACCAAAAGCTTCCAGGTGGTGATTCATCCACCACTATCACCTCCTCCATCCCTGACAGTCTCCTCCCTTTCCCTGGTAGCACTGACTCCGTTTTGCCTTCCCAGCTCTCATCGGCCAATGGATATCCCTACCGTAACTCCTCGCTCAAGCGTGGCCAGCCAGCTGATCAGACGCAGGCCGTGGATGCCTTTAAGCAGAACGTAACTCAACATGTAAATAGGTAAATATCAGCACCACCACGCAAAACGGTGCCTTCCCTCCCAGCAGGTAACCTCAGAAGCACCCGGCACAAGGTATCATGACACCAAGGTGTTTTGGCCTGTAGGGAACTAGCTCTTTGACATTATTAATTCAGACTTGCTCATGAGATCAAGAGACTCAACGATCTGACAAGCAATTATCCATGCGCATACTGTCTGCTATCAAATCACCAGCTGGTCTGCAAGGAAATAGGCTAAATGTGGTTTCCACCACAAGAGGCATAGGAATTGATTCCTTTAGTCCATCAGCATGTTTTGTTTCATAATGTCGGTCCAACAAATTAGTATTAAGGATCATGTGCTGTCTTTGGCTTTACCTTCCACCCATTTTTCAGACTGCCAACAGTTCTTCCTTACCAATAACATTAAGGAAACATAATTGAAGTAAGTAGTGCTGAAGCAAATACGGAGACTGAGAATGGGCTTAGCTGCCTTCTTCACTTCAGACCTGAGCCAAGTGTGCCCAGATGTTTGCCAGGATCACAGTCCTGGGACAGAGATATTTCCTGGTTTTTCAGGGTACTTTAGTTCTCTAATGGAAAAACACAATATTAACAAAAAATACCTGTGCATCAATATTATTATTTACCCTATGGCTTTTGGTTGCCAAGACATGTCAGGAAAGCCTCAAGCTATATCCAGCCAAGGTCTCTCATCTAGGTGTGAATATAGTGCTTGAAACTTCTCCAACCTTCAGTCCTTTTCTCATGAGTCACTTACTTTCTGGAAGGTTAGAAAAGAGATGATTTCTTCCTAACAAGAGCATTTCTCCCTCTCCCTGCCTTCGGGGCATTGCTGGCCAAGGCAACCACTCCTTTTCTTGACTGGCAGATTCAATCTAGTTTCAACCTTCTTCAGAAGGCCAAAAGCCATCTAATGAAGACCCTAAAATGAACCAATACCTAAACCTAACGGACCTATATTTAGTATGTTTTTATGGGCTTAAGATTTGAAGTCTAAAATTGAAAGCAAGAAGTCAGGAAAGACAAGCATACTGATAAAAGCCATAGTCATTATCAGCACTGGAACCTGTGTCACTGAGTTACACCAGCCTTGACATAAGTTGGTGTAACTCTACTGGAAGACTCTCTGCCCTCTTGCTGTTATGTCTGCTATGAATATAAGCACTTGGAAACTGCACCGTGTGGGTCTACTGGTCCCAAGTCGTAAACAGAGAGATGCAGAGAGAGTGTGACAAAATAGTTCTTGCCCTTGCAGAACTATGTACAACAGGATTCCCTCACTACAGACATTTTGGGAATTAAAAACATAAGCTTATAATCATCCTAGCTGGAGAAGAAGATGGGAGATTTTCCTAAGGCAGGCTTAAAAAACACGAAAAATAAAAGATTTCATTTTGAGTCCAAAAAGAACCCCACTTTTTGTTTCCCTTTTCACCAATATCTGCATTTTAAAAAATCTTTTGTATTTATTCTGTATCACTCTTCAAATGAAAGGGGGCTGCCTCCCTCTAGCTTAAAGCCAGCTGAGGTGGCCCACAGGCATCACCCCTTGTCTTACACTTGTGGACCCTATTGGAGGGGTCTCTGCTACAATTCCATCTTTTTTTTTTCTCTCATGAAGGAATTATGAGGCCCAGGGAATGGCCCCACCGAAGAGATATGCCAAAATCCGCTACGATTTCACTGCACGAAATGCCAACGAACTCTCCGTGCTTAAGGATGAGATCCTGGAGGTAGGTGAAGGTCCTGGGAAGCAGCTTTGCCCTTTCTCCCCTTTCTGGGAAAAGGAAAGAAGGCTCAAGACTGGCAAGAGCCAAGCTGTTTTTCTTAAGTAACAACAAGGAAGAGGGAAATYGATCCCTGTAGCACATTGCACACCCACTTTCTGCATCTAAGTTGGCCATTACCAAAAAAAAGCAAGTAATTTTCCAGGAAAATATCCTGTTTTTCAACCTTTCTCCTATTGCAACACTGTTGGTAGCTGACGGGCGTAGGACACAGCTCGGTCTATGCCCTAACCATGACAGACCTATGACTCGAGGCAATGTAGCTAGACCAGGAAAAGTGTGTTCCTAGGAAAGTTCAACCTGGATAAACTCATTTATTTCCAAACTACATTATATATTGTGTTATGATGGGACGTATTGTGATCAAGTTACATGACAGTCCTGTGGCTATTTTTATTTATTTATTTTGATGTATTTAATGCAAAAAAAACCCCAAACAACCCAAAGATATAGAGGAAAAAAGAGAGAGATAAGCAGGCAAATTAAGTTGTAACTATGAGTTTGACAGCATCCTGCATGTATATTTTCCCCCAGAGGTGCTCTCCTATAGGCCTTGTGTTATGTTTTTGGTGGTTTTCAGGAAATACTTCAGTTCTGAACTGGAAATAGTGTAATGCAGATTTGTTTGCCAGACCTCTGTGGTGTTAGGCTGATGACTTTGCATTACTGTGTATTTTCTTTCCACTATATGCTATACTCTCTACCACAAATCCAGTGTTCTCTCTGACATTTTCTTCTTTTCTCAGGTGTTGGAAGATAATAAGCAGTGGTGGAAGCTGCTCAACCGGAGCGGGCAGGCTGGTTATGTCCCTTATAATATCCTGGATGTGGTGAAACTGGAAGAACTTGAACAGGTCTATATTCAGGTGATATTTAACTGGTAATTAGCTACAGGGCATAATTAACYGCTGAGAATAATCCTGGAATTAGACCTACCTGATCTGCATGAGCCAGACCTCCCCTCCAAGCAAATGAAGCAGGAGATTCCCAAGTTTCCTATGGAAAAACATGCRTATTTTGCTGCTATCTTGCCTTCCCTCTCCCCAAACCAGGCATGTCAATCCTAACTACCCCTCAGGATGACATTTCTTCTCTTCTCTGCAATTCTAAGCTCACTCCCCAACACCAGGGGCACCTGGAAAGCAGAGTTATGGGGCAGGTGAAGGTCCTGTGCTGTGGAGGGAAACCTGCTACTGAGAGAGACCCTCAGTTCCGTTCTGCACCAGGAGATATCAGAAGGAAGAGGTTAGGTAGGAAGAGGTTATTGAGGGTAGGTAGTAATAGCATCTAAGTGAATATTAACYGAGCATTGCTCTCAAGTGCCTTTTATTGGAAAAAATAATTGTTCCCTGCAGCTCCACCTGAGTGCATATTAAGCTCAGCTGCTGGATGACCACAGGGAGGACAAGACAGTTTGTTACTCTGGGAGGGATGCAAAAAGTTTGAGAAAACTGAAAAAAAAAACCCCAAAAACACACAAAAAATTTACTTTTTTTTTCTTCCTTATCTTCTAGTCTAATCAGAGGTACAAAGGAGAYCTGAGCCCCAGGGGATACGGACCATCGAGCCCAACTCACAAGCTGCCCGCCAGCTACGCAGGGGACAAATGGGGCAGTGAAATGCTCGCGCGCAGCAATCCACAGGACGCCAAAGAACGTACGTGTCCATCCCACGTTCCCAGCATCAGGGCCCTTTTCCCACCATATGGTGGGACTTCTCTAGTGTAGACACCTCAGAAGGTGTCAAAGAGTTGCTTTGTGAGACATCCTTCACACTCTGTATTCCTCTTGGGATGGCCAAGCCACACAGAGCTGTTTTTCTGACGAAGGAGCAAGCAGCGCAGCTGCTGACAGATCAGTCCTAAGGAGTTCACCAGTTTTACCAGACTGCCTCCAAAAGACCTCGCCCCAAATTCATCCTTTCTTCAGCTCCTGCAGTCYGCTCAAATCAGGAGCCCTTCTGGGGCAATAGAAAGCCCCATCGTATAAGTGTCAGCGTCAGAGATGTACTAATAGCCCTGTGTTATTCCCCACAGTCTTGGGTAGTATTGTGGAAAAAAAAGTGATATTGAGTGATGTACCACGAAGGGACATCCTCTAGGACAAGAGGAAGTGTCCTCAAGATGCACCAGGAGAGGTTCGGCGTAGATATTAGGAAAAAAATCTTCATGGAAAGAATAGTGAAGCATTGGAACAGAAGGGAAGTAGAGGAGTCATCATTCCTGCCAGTGTTGAAGAAACGTGTAGATGAGGCACCTGGGTACGTGATTTACCAGGCATGGTGTTCGAGGGCGTATGGTTGGACTTGATGATCTTCAAGGTCTTTTCCAACCCCAATGATTCCATGATTCTACGAAGGCTTTGTGAGCGTGTGGCTCTCTCTCCAGTTCATGCTTCCTGCCACTTCCTTTACTTGCACAGCAAAAGAAGGAGCTCTGAGGATCTGGATCAGTGAATTACTTGCAAGAAGCAGCAAGGAGTACTGAGAAGTAGAGGGCACAGGGCTAGAKCTTAAAAACAAAGCTCAAATTGTAGGTGCTCCCAGACTCTGCCTTCCACACCAGAAGAAAACGGAGAGGCAACAGAAAGAATATGTTAAAAGTGGGGTTTTTGAGAATGGGAAATGTCTATTCTCAAAGATAGTGGGGCCTCCCTCATGTTTGCTCTCTCACATGGTCTGGGTTTTCTTCCTCCCTCCTGCTAGGTTTGCAGGGCAGTTTCCTTATTTTAATAGCCTGAAGGGAACTAAGTACTTCAAAAACAGGAAGATGATGCATTAAAGCAAAGACACAACAGTGACAAAAGGCTTTAGGGAAAAGGGACCCAGTCTCTTGCAGGCAGCACCCGTGGGAGCAAAGAGATATTGGTTCAATGTTCTACGCTACAAGCAAACTTCTGCCAGGAGGGGTTGAAGGCTTTTGTGGCCTTTGTATGAGGATCTGTAACTGGTGACTTAATTTTTCTCGCGACTCTCTATTCGTCCTCTAAAAGGTGTGCCTTGTTTCCCCAGAACTCATGCACCAAATGGATGAACTGAATGATGAGCTGCTAAAGAAGATCACAAACAGTAAAATTCACCCCCCGACGAGGAATTTCAAAGTGGAGAAACCTCAGCAAGTTCTTGTGCCCCTTACCTTTGAATCTAGCGCTGAAGAAGTCAAAGCTTGGTTGGAGGCAAAGTCATTCAGCAAAGGGTAAAATCTGCATTGCTCCTCTAGGAGATGCTGGTCCTAGAGGCGGTCCCAGTGCAGGGGCTGCAATTCAAGTGCTCTGGACCTTTGAGGAGAGGCCACATGTAGCACAATGATCTCCTTGCTTTGTGTCTTCCAGGACAGTGGATCACCTTGGCATCCTTACTGGAGCGCAGCTTTTCTCCCTGAACAGAGATGAGCTAAAGAAAGTGTGTGGTGATGAGGGCAACAGAGTGTACAGTAAAATCACGGTGGAAAAAAATCAGCTAGAGGTAAGTAGCTGAAAGCGTGCCTTGACCACCAACACCAGGGTGTCCCATTGAAGAGGAAGTTTCTGAAAACAAAGTGAAAATGCAGAAACTGTTTTAAGCAAAAAGACCCCAAATCTGTAAGGTGGATTGCCCTGGCTCTACCAAGGAATCTGCCTTCTCACTGATGCCCCTCGTACTAGCTCTAGTGCTAGTTTTGGCATCAAACATTATCAGCTTCAAATAAGYTTTATGTTATTATTATGATTATATTATGTAATGACATCATATGATATGATAAGATAATGAACAGCTATAAGTTAAAATTCAAACTTGCTCTTTTGTTTCCATTCTAGAAAAACAGAGGGGAGTCAGAGCTCCAAGAAATCATGAAGCGTCGCCAGGAGAGGATTGATTCTGCTAATTAAAACTCTATCTGCTTTTTTCCGCTATTAGTCATAGTAATACACACACACAMAMAAAAAAAAGGGAATGAAAGCAATGGTCCCAAGTCCAGGCAAGAGACAGAAGTGCTCCACACTTAGCAGTGGAGTCATTGCCATCAGAGCGACAATTCCTTGAACACTGTTGATAAGGATAGACACTAAGACCACATCCCATTGGGAAAGCTGTATTAGTATTGCATGAAGTTTTTTTTTTTTAATATTATATATATATCTATATATTTTATACTGAAATTTTATGTGCATGCAGTCAGAGCAGACCAGAATTCACACAAATTTGAATGTGCAGGAAGGAGCCCGCAAAGCTTTGAATGGAGGGTGATGTGTGCTCCCAGCTCCTTTCCTGGCATTCTGTGCAGAACAAACCAGCCTGAACGCACAGAGCCTGGGACCAAAGAAATAAGTCTTTTTTATTGTTATTATTTTCCTCATCTTTCATTTCGTTTCATGTGGCAGATATCCCTGGTAACCTACTAGCAGAGGCTGGTGGCTGTTTGCTCTCCTTCTGTTGTTGTCCCATGCCATGTTAGATGAGGTTAGAATTGCAAAGCAAATTATTCAAGACCTGGGCTGCTTTTTCAAATACTGGTTACTGCTGCCTTTGGACAGCAGAAAAGGGGTTTTGCTGCAGAATAAAGGGCAGGATCTGAGCGAGGACTGAAGCAATTGCAAATATCAGAGGATGCTGAGGAGCTGAGGCTGCGGGCAGCTGTGCAGCAGAGTGTCTTGACACTAATCCTGTATCAGAAAGCTATAGCATTGCCAAATGCAGGCCTCAAACATCCAGAAAATAACCCCCTAACATTTGCTCCCCACCTTTAGTCACGCTTAAAGCCACTGCCAGGGCCATGACTCATCCTCACCTTCACATTTGACTTGCAAAGAGCATTCTGAGGGGTTTGCTAAACACTAAGAAACTACATAGCACTTGGAATGGCTGCTTTAATATGAAACATCAACATGACAAACATGGAAAATATTTTCTAACTTAGTAGATGCTGTTGTTCCTCACTTCCTTTATTTTTTTTCCTTATTAATGGTGTGTGCATGTGTATATATCCATCTAGTAACATACATGTTTGGACTCTTACAATCTATAAATAGAGACAGAGGGAAAACTGTAAGGAGCAACTGTGCAGAAGTCACTTAAGCAAAGTTTTAAAAGCAACAGTAGATTTCTTGCCCCATCACCATTGACACAGTGTTTACGCAATATCTGTGTTTTCCTTACAGAGCCACTTGATAAGAGCACAGGAAAGCGTATATACATTTACAGGAACTGCTTGCAAACYGCAAAGCCTTCATCTTTCTCCCTCACACATGAACTCGGAATAACTCCAGGGGGAATTTTGGCCCAGACTTAGGCACATGCAGGGACTTTACATGCCAGGAACAGTCCCACCTCCTCTGGAGAACACAGTCACCCTCTTGACAAGTTAGGMCTGTGCTTAAGTCTTTGCACAACTGAGGCCAGTGCTTACATGTTTAATGGACAAAGCTGTGAAACTGTAAAGCAGTGGCTTGGGAACGGCCACTTGTTTTAACTAGAGAACGCTGGTGCATCTCTTGATTTTGGCCTGTTTTCCCCCACAAAAGTATATATATATATGTATACACACACATATATATATGGTAGTGGATAAAGTATTTTCTTAAGCTTTAATGGGACCGTTTTTATCACAGGTGGAATTAGGGTATGGGTAGGAAACTTGTAAAGAGTAGGAAACTTGTAAAGAGAGCGGTGTTTTTAGTCACATCCCTACTAGCTTGCCATGGTGGCTGGAAATGGCAAATTTGGTCAGGGAGAAATGAATGCAAATGGCAAATTTGCTTGGGGAAGAATGAAGAGGACTGTCCTCCTGAAAAGCCCCGTCTCCGCATTAGGGGGCAAACAGGTGTGAACACTGGCAAATCATTGGTGTCATGAGCACAGGAGGCTAAATTCTTTCTCAGGTTAAAATAAAGGCCAATGGTGAGATGAAAGGTACGGCATCATTCTTGTTTTTCTTTTTTCTTTTTAAAATATATGTATAAAGAAGAAGAAATCAGATTTATAGCTACTTGGATTACAATAGCAACACATCTGGCCGTTCAGGTAAAGCTGGGAACCCCAGGAACCGCTCGTGAAAACATTAAGTGAAAACGTTGAGTAAATCTCATTGCAGAGGTCATATTTTTTAAGAATTTCCCCAGGGCCGAGCTGTGCATCCGCTATATTTATACTGCCTGCAGATAATGCTACATTATACTGTACATTAATGTAACTGAACGAAAGACAAAACGGTATAACCATGCACTGTGTAAGATTTATTAAAATTGCTAAGTTATAACTCTATCTTTGTCACTCTCTCTCTCCTGGGTACAAATGAAAAATGGTATTAAAAATTTTTTTTTAAGGGGCTGCTGTGAGGCCGTTAAAATACGCAAGGGAAGACGTGAAACTGTATTTTTGCCTTAGTTTTGTGGGGCTGAAACCGAAGGAGTTTGCCTGGGGACGGGACACGGGGGCACAGCCCCCCCCAAGCCGCCCTCCCGCCTCTGGGCGGGTAATGGCGGGGTGGCCGCATCCCCCTGTCGCCATGGTGACGTCTTTTTCCCCACCCCTCTTCCGGCCGGCTCTCCCCACCCACGAGCTCAGCCAATCAGAGACTTCCTGCCTTCTCCCTGCTGCCTACCGGCAGGGGGTCCGTCTTGTCAGGGCGCCTCCGATTGACTCTCCCTCTCCCTTTCCCCGCCCCGCTGCGTGCTTCTCGGAGGCCGATTGGCTGCGGCTGAGCGCGAGAGCGGAGCGCGCGCGCAGGCCGCTTCCCCGCGGGGCACCCCGGCTCCATAAAGGCGGCGCGCGAAGCCCCCGACCTCCTCCCCCACCGCGGCCATGTCGGTGTCCCCGGTGAAGCGGCAGAAGATGGAGTCGGCGCTGGACCAGCTCAAGCACCACACCACGGTGGTGGCCGACAGCGGGGACTTCAACGGTGAGCGGGGGCGGAGGGCGGCCGGGGGCCTGGAGGGGCGAGGGGCGCCGAGCCGGTGCTCACCGCGCTCCCCCCTCCCGGCGCAGTGGACGCGCCCGGGCGAGGCGGCGAAACGGCCCGGCCGCGGGGGAGGGGAGGG